TATTTAATTAACTCGTTTTTTTCTGAGGGATGAAAAGCCCTTGTCACAGATACATATCTGCCGCACAGCATCCCTCACTTCCAAAATTGTTCCCTAGTGGGGATCTCTGTACAATGTTACAACTAATGGAATCGAAGAAAGCACATCTCAGACCAGAGAAGCAGCAAGCGAGCTGAAACCAATTTCATCAGACATTGAATGTTTTGTGTTTTTTTTAATTTTCTGTATGTATTTGTGTTTGACATGAAGTTATTTTCGACAGTAATATAATAAGGAAAATTTATTCACTCAGCAATCAATAATTGTTTTAAGTTTTCTGAATTCTGAACGCAACGCCATAAATAAGTAAATACTGTAAGGCTTGTGTTTAAGCTGGCCTGCAACCCTCCTTACCTTTGTAAACCTGAAAACGCTAAGCACTAGGGTTCAATAATAGCCACTGTGAGGATAATACCATATATTTTAAGTTTTTCTCACGGGGGCCGGAGGTGATGGAACAGAACTGTAAGGTGCAAGCAGAAACATGTGATTGACATTCAGTAAATGCTAGTTATCATTTGTATTGCTAATTACTAGAATTTGAGGCAATTGAGAATTATTCAGATAAAGAGTCTAGACTTTTAAATATAGATTTTTAGTTATATATATACATTTATATATATGCACACACACATACTTGTATGAAAAAAGAAAGAGTGTTGGAGGATGAGGAAACCTAAAGGGAGTGGGGTGCTGGCAAACAGAAAGATAATTTAGGAAAGGGAAGATAGATGTGATGTTTCATTCATGCATAGAGTCTAGTTTTAAGTGTATGTGAGAGAGATGGGGAGAGAAAAAGTGAGGGAGAGAGAGAGACAGAGAGAGACAAAGAGGGATAGAGAGACAGAAGGGGAATTGGAGGAAAGTGACCAGTTGGAATCAGGAAGGGTTGCACCAGGAATGACTATATGTGGACAGTGGATATATACATACATACATACATACATACATACATACATACATACATACATACATGTATGTGTGGGTGAAAATATCATAATAAAGCCTATAATTATGTATTCTAACTAAACATCTTAAACAGTGGCTGGAGGGGTGGAGAAATGGTTCAGCAATGAAGAGTGCTTGCTGCTCTTGCAGATGACCTGAGGTTGGTTGTATTGTTCACAAAGCAGCACATGGTTGTCATTTATTCCAGTTCTATAGGGACCCTATACCCCCTGTAACTTCTAAGAGCACTGCACACTGGAAGTACACAGATATACATGCAGGCAAAACACTCATGAACATAAAAATAAATAAGTAAATATTTACATAGCAAGTAGGTAGCAGTTAATAAAATAAAAGCATTTTACATTTTAAGATTCCCAGTTTGGGTAAAAAAAAAAAAGTTTTAGATAGACTAATAAGATTTGGAGTGTTTTGTTTTGAGACGAGTTTTTTTCTGTCTGTCCCGGAACTTGTTCCTGTAGACCAGGCTGGCTGGAACTCAGAGATCTACTTGTCACTGCCTCCTGAGTGCTGTGATTAAAGGTGTGAGCTTTTTTATTTGGTTTTTTTTCCTAATAAGAATTTTATAATGAATATAAGAATAGAAATGAGGCACAGTACAAAAATTCCTATACGTCCTCCATAACTTCAGTGACAAAGGAAATGTTCTCTACATAAAAAGCATTATACTGAAAAATGAGCATGGAAGTAAAAACTGGTGCCCATTACAAATGGGGTGTTTAAAATCAAGAGAAAACAGAAATAAAATTTGAATACATGTCAGAAAATTGACCAAAGTTTTGAGAATATTAATAAATACATACATTAATTTCCATATTATTTCATGAATATGTATTGAACAAAAAATAATTTTTATATTTATTTCTATAATTGTAACTTCATCTTCATTTTTAAAGCTATAGAAACAGCTAAGTCACCTTAATAGAAGCTCATTTTATGGAGTCTAACAGATTCGTACTGCTCCCACAGTTTTAAAATACCTTCCAGTTTTCATAAAGGAAAAGGAGAGTTTGAAAGTCTCTTTTGCAAACCATAGAATAGATAGTGCAGGAAATACAAGTTTCTTGAAAAGTATCAGAATTAGGGAGCACATCTTGACCTAGGATGTGAATTAGTGTGGATGAAGATGCCCATGTGATGGAATGGTCCACCAACCAAGGCTGCGCTGGAGGAGGAACCAGATTCACAGAGCAAAGGCACATCAGCAGCTTTGTTCTGCCAAGGAAGCCACAATAACAATGTATATAAGCACATCTGGGGATATGCTCATTTTTACAGATCCTTCCTTATAACAGCTGGCAGCCCTTTACAGCTTTCAGTTAAAGGTGCTTCATCAGTTCAGAGATTTTTTTTCCTGTCTATGCGTTCACTTAGAAGATATGAATGCCTATGAGAAAGGGAAAGCTTTGGTAATAACTTGCAGCAAAGTAGGTCAGCCCAAAGAGGGCAGAGAGCCACCGGAAGGACAGAAGGACTGAAGAGCTCAGGTCTTTGGAAGCAGACACAGTACTACAGGCTGACCTCCCCTCCAGGTGTTCTTTATGACTATCCCTCCACGAGGAAGAAAAAGAACATGGGACAACATGCTCTTTAAAGGATTGTCGAGAGAGCACCCTTCTCCTCAGAGCAACAGTCAGACAGTGTCTGTTCACAGTGATTTCAATTCAGGGGAATGTGGGGTAGGCTTTGAAAGATAAACATTGGCTTTGGCGATAAATGTGAATATTTGTTCCTAGTTAAGCAGTAGCTGAATGAAGCCACATATTACAGGTTTTCAATAAACACCAGCAACTTTCTTTTCATCTCATCTTTGTTTTGGTCCCTTATCAACATGACGTTGTTTTCTTTGCTGTAGAAGCTTTAGATTCTCTTACTTGATGTCATTACCTATTCATCAGCACAGACATAAAAACTTGACCCTGCTCAATGCTTTTTGCAAAGTATAGATACCAATGAGAGAATAACTAGACATTCACACCATCGTGCTGACCCATGTGAAAGACTTCGCCTGGCTCATCAGCTCATGCGATCCTGGGTCTATAGACAGAAGGCATAATGAACTTTGACCCCTGATACCTCCTTAGCATGCCTGATATAGGCATCCTGTTAACATTGGTCTGTTCCAAATAAAATCATTAAATGTGGCAAAAGTGCCCCTGAAATTTTTCTTAAATTCATGGTAATAAAGTAACAGATATGAATTTTGTCTGCAGAACCCTGCCCAATGATTCTACTCAAAGCACCACTGAAGTAACAGTGAAATCTAAAGGAGGGAAGGATCGAGCTAAAGAACCTGTGAAGAAGGCTAAGGCTAGAGAGATGACTCAGAAGTTGGGAACATGGGCTGCTCTTCCAGAGGACTGGGGTTCAGTTCCTGAAACTATGTGGCAGCTCACAACCCTCTGTAACTCTAATTCCAGAGGATCTGGTGCACCGCATCTATCTCGTGTACAGGCATGCATACAAGTAAAATGTTCTTACACATTAACTAAGAAACAAACCTTTCACTTTAAAATAACATGGGAAAGAAGGAAATCGTAACAGCAAGCAGCTGCCTGGGCGTGTAAACGACATAATTGTAAGATAGAAGTCTAATCCCTGTAGTTAACACAGGAAGCATAGAGAATTTTAATGGACTCTGGCTTCCCTACATGTGGATATTTGTCTTCTGAGGCACTTACACATACTGTTTGTTTTCTTGATCACTGTGAGACTTAAGCATCATGGTAAACATGCCTTTGGGAATGGGAGGTGAGAGGGATTAGGATCTGAAGGTCTAGAGGAAAATTAGGACAACCTAACAAACAAGAAAAGATGGCTACCGTATTGGGTGTGTATATTTCTGCTGTTTTAGTTTGAGGGATTTACTAACTTTTATTTTATGCAAGTTAGTGTTGGCCTGCATGCATGTATGCATAAGGTTTGCATGACTGTCCCTATTAAAGCTAGAAGAGACCATTGGCTCTTCTAGAGCTGAAGGATTGGATGGCTGTAAGCCACTATAAAGGTGCTGAGAACCAAACCCCAGGCTCCCTGCAGAAGCAGCAAATGCATTAACCATTGAGCCATCTCTCCAGACCACTAGTTTTAACATTTTTGAATGGAACAAACACAGGTGCGTTTGTGAGAAGCTAACACAGTGAGAAACAGAAATGGCAGATACTTGTATTTCACTCTGTTTTATAAAGCCACACTATAAAAATGTGATGTGTGTGTGTGTGTGTGTGTGTGTGTCCTATAGCCAGTGTCTTATGGCCATCCTTGATATAATCCTAAAAAGCGTTTCATCTGAGGTTTGGTTTATAATAGTTCTTCCCAGGGCTCATCTAATGTATGAAAGGGAACCCACAACCCACGCCAACTCTCCCTTTGACTGAAAAGGAGTGAACTTCCTTCATCATTACTCTTCATTTGTACTTTACAACTTTGCTTCTGTGCTTTCAGTTCATTTTATTTTTTTTTCTTTTGCTAGGGCTTTGAAATTCTCCACGGCCCTAGGCTAAGGGATAAGCCTAATGCTGGGTGGATAAACTGGCCTTCCTAAAAAGAACACGTCAGTCATTTTGAAGAATACTCAGCTCTTTGTCCCTTTAACTGGAAAGAAGTAGCACAAGGTCCCGGGTCTACAAAAAGTAGTGAATCAAAATCCCTCAAAATCTGAGAGTAAATCCCCTACATAGCAAGTACAGGCCAGGGAGAGCTACACGGCAAAACCCTATCTCAGACAGAGAGACACAAAACAAAAGTGTCCCCATTCCTCATTTTTGAATTATAAGAGGTGACTTTGGACAGCATGGCACATAAGAAACCAGATGACATCATTGTATTTGCATTCAATACTTGTTTTCTGATGAGTCGTTCCTATCCAGTCTTAGAAGATGGATGCAGGCCTCCTTACTGCAGAGGACATTAAAACCTGTGGAGGGATGCAGCCTCAGAATACAGAATTATTTGGCAAAGTACAAATACAGTTGTTTCCTGTTTCCACACAGCCTCCATAGTGATTGGGAAATGGTGGTGTGAGATGGAGCCCTGCCTAGAAGGAGAAGAATGCAAGACCCTCCCTGACAATTCTGGATGGATGTGTGCTACAGGCAACAAAATTAAGACCACACGAGTAAGTCTGCTTCAAATATTACATTCATGTTTCAAACTGTTCTATTGGCTTTGCCCTTGCATTAGCAGCAGTCACAAGGGCTTTGAATAGGACAGGAGGAAAGAGTTCCTTTAACAGGACGTGTTCTGGACTAGGTGGTCAGTGTCCATCCATGAATCAGAAGTTCAAGTTTAAACATGACCTTTCTGCATGACGTGGTTCTTTATTTATGTTACATTCACAAGTAAAGCCGGAGAGGCAGGATCATTAGGGCAGTGACTTGGGGCTTACATCTTGCAACCTTGGTGTTCAGAATGATAATCACGTGCCTTGCTTGATTCATCTCAGCAGTGTGCTGAAAAAGACTGTGTTTAAGTACAATCATATTTAAAGGAATTTTGGTGACCTTACAGAGAAGTACAAAGAGATTTGTAAAGTCAGTAATTATTCTTTGATTTCTCTGGTTAAACCAGGGGCTCCCTAAAATTATAAAATACAGAGAGTGAGTATGCCTCTCCTGTCAATATTAGTGTCATGGTGCCATGCCAGAGTAGAGGGACGTGGTTAGGCCAACCATCAACCACACTGGGATTGGACTTGTGTGACATCTAAAGGGGAGAAGATAAGTGGAGCTCTAGATGCTTAAGTAGCTTTATTTCTCTAGTAGTACAAAATGCTTAAGATGCTTTATTTCTCTAGTAGTACAAAAGCATGCAAGCATTTTAACAACTAGTATCATCCTATGTTGTGTACCACCCAACTGTCAGCATATCAGCCTTGAAGAATGTTTGTGTATACCTGTATGCATATGTGTGCTTATTTCTTGGCCATTTAAAAAGTGATTTTATCAATTGTAAAGTCTACAGGATAAAATTTACTTTAACAGAAGGTGAATCAAATATTGAAGCGCACTCTGAATTCTGACCACTATACCACGAACCTTGATATGATCTTTCTCTCAAATATCACTCTTTCAATAAATAAACATGGTCCTTGCAACTATGTGATATAGAAATAAGAAATAAAGTTATATAATACTGTATGAACACACTTGAGTTTTTCATATATAAAATAACGGTGCATCAAATATAGTTACCCATATGGACTATAGTAGCCAATAAAAGGCCATAATTTCTTGACATGTAGTCAAGAGGGATTTCCGAACTACCTTAGCTTGTTAATAAGCATCCTCATGTCTCTAAATAATTCAGCATAGATTTTTGCTTCCCTTTACAATTTAACACTTACATAAGGAAGCATCCAGAAGTGAGACTGGCTTGGATTACTTACCCTCAAAAAGTTTGTTTCAATTAGTTAATGGAGGAGGCCAGATTTGCCTATAGTTATGTTTTATCTGAAAAGTACCTGAACAAATTAGAATACTTGAAGATATTCTGAATTAGAGTTACAGTTTAATTACTTTTGGTTTGAACACATCACCTAGGTGTCTTATACCAAGTCTCAGTCCCTAGACAACTGATGACTGATAATGGAAGGTACCCCCAAGCTTTCATGGTGACTTAGAATCTAAAACTCATCAAGGAAAACTAATTCAACTCAAATTATTTCAGTATTTAAGTATAGAAACTTCCAAGAATACCAGTTCAGAGACTCTTTGGAAGACAGACTTTATGCTCAAAACTAAAAAATGAAAACACCCAGAAAGAGTTCACGATGCTATGTTTTTGAGAGCTGTGCAACTTTCATTTAAATTTGGCTTCTATTCTATTTTGGAGTCTATTTTTAGCCACCAAGCATGCTGTAATGCATCCCCAGACCCCTTTCTTATTGAGGGAGGCTTGTGTGGAACCCGATCACTGTAACTGAGAGCGTAGCATGCTGTTTGCCCCACCCAGGGAGTATTGAGGTTAACCCAGGCAGCTGAAGATACAAGAGAGCCAAACTATGGCAGTTACTGCTTTGACAGCTAAGAGTGTATGGAATTCCACCATGTCTGAATATAGTCTGATATATTCATGGCTGAATAGTCTGAACTCTACTTTTAGAGGGGAGATGGAGGACCCTGGGTAAAGAAAGCTATGCTTTATAAACACTGAGGGTATTCAAAGATTACTTTCACCTTTTCTCTACAAGATTCCCAAGAACTCCTAGATATCAAAATCACTTTTAAACAGAAAACCCAGCAGTTGGACCCAGACAAGCTTCCAGGAGCCTACATCCTGAGCAGATGGTGGACTAATACCAGTTCTTTGATTATATGTTCCTAAAAGAAAGCCTATGATAATTTTTTGTACACCCCTGGGTGTTTTTCCCATCAGAATACATATATGCCTACCCCCTCCAAATATTGTCTCTAGCAATTTAAGTTTTAAAATAGTTTAATTCACAGAGAGACTTCAAACATTATGAGTTCATTTTTTATTGTTATCTAAGCAGCAAGAAAAATAAAAGAAACCACTTCTCATCTTCTTATACGTAAGGCTGCTTTAAAAAGAGCACTGCCCACAATCTACAAAAAGGAAAAGTTGAAAAAGATACTCTAAACTGTTAACTTTGCAATGGCAAGTGAGCATTTCATTTGGGCTGTTGGTTTAAATATCGACTCTTGGACCAGGGAGATGGTGCAGTTGCTGAAGGAAGCATAAAGAACTGAATTCAGATTCCCATGTCCCACATAAAAAGCCACAATGGCATATGCCCATATCCTAATGCTGGGGAAGCAGAGATAAGATGAACCTTGGAGCTAGTTGGTCAATTATTCTTGCCAAATCTGTGAGCTCCAGGTTCAATGAATGACTCTGTTTCAAAAAAATATGGAGCAGAGGACTAGAAAAAAGCATCAACCTCTGGCCTCTGCATATAACTATATGTATACATATACCCCCCCCAAAACAGGTATGTACATATAACCACACATAAATAAATAAACTAAATTTCAGGATAAAAGTCTTTGCCAGAAAATTTCTAGAGACTCAATTCTTTTTCCACACAAAATATTCCAGAAAAAAAAATCAGAAACTCTCTGAAATATAGATAAGCAGGTAATATTTTTGCTCTGTGATCTACTTTAACGATTTCCAGTGTTAATTTTTAAAGGAGGGATCAAGAGTAGAAATCTCATGTATCATCTGAACCATAAGTCCTCAGAATAGATGAGCCTGAGTAGCAAGCCACAATGAAGAGGACTCTTGGTAATGGTGGCTCTCAGAGACAATGTAATCTAAAGAGGTAGAAAAGGCAGGCGAAATTAGGGAAAGTGTTTTCTACCGAGGAATTTGGAGTGATGGATAATAAGAAGATCCCTGAAAGTCATGATGTAGAAAACAAGTATTCATATCTAAGAAGTATTCAACCATTCAGTGTGAAGGAGAATAATATCAGTATTACATTCCCTTGCTGAGAAGCATGGAATATCTTCACAGAGTTTTAAGGCCAAGCATTAACCCTATTCCATGTTGCTCATTGTTTGAGTTGCTTGATTAAATTTTTTTTATTGTTGATAGTGGCAAAACTAGACTAAATATTGCCTTAAGACTTTTTTCTGTGTTTCTAGATATTGCTTAACATTTACTTTATTTTAAATAGTATATCAAATAAAGACTTGGAACATTGGTGAGGCTGTGTTCATGTTCATAGGTAGCACAATGGCTTGATTTCAAAGAGAATTCCCCACAGAGGAAACAAGTTATTTGAATATGATATGCTAACTACACATGGAAATGGAGGGCAGGTGTCTTGAAAACTGAAATGGAAAGGGATGGAACTCAGAGAAAACTATAACAGTTGGGACAAAAAAAATACTCAAAAGGATGAAGATTACAGAATGTATTCTGATTGGTTGGCTTGGGAAGAATCAATCAACTGTAGATTTGCTTCACCACTGTGGAGAAAACAATAATTAGTTCATTTTGTAAACTTGAGTTCTGTTTCCTAAAAGAAGAGTTATCAGACCTTAAACTGCACAACAAAACATACTAGCCATCTTGTCAAGTCATTGCTTATATGACTGACCAACTGGCCAACTGGGATTTCATTTGGCCCTCTGTCTACACTCTCTCTCTCTAGCCCTCTGACAGTGTCTCTGAATTTGGAAATATAAGTCCATTCTAATTATTCCAACATTTTTTTTATGTATTTAAGAAAGAGCAGAATTACAGTTTTGACACCTTCTGGCTTCTTGTTGTTCTTTACAAAATTTCACCAGATCTAAAATACTTTGAGAGCTTATGTCATTACAGTTCTGATTGCCATTCAGTTTCCAGTTGAAATACTGAGAGGAAGAGAAAGATACCAACTCCAAATAAGTAATATCAAATTGCTGTCTAAACTAAAAGGCAGTTGAATGATAAGGAAGAAACATTAAATATGGAGATGGTTGAAAGATCTAGATAATTGCAGGCAAAGAAGATAAACCATTTTACAGTCACAGTTGCCCCTGTAAGCAATATGTTCATTCATTGCCTTAGTCAGTAAGAACAGGTAAGCCTATGCTATCTCATTTTAAGGGTTAATGTCTCCAGGACTAGATGGCAACAGGACAGGGCCCCTGGTCTTCCATGTTGGTATAGGGAATAAACATAGAAATGGTAGAAAAGTATTTTCAATTCAATTTGGTAAATGCTACTTTATTACCCTTTTTGTGGTGGAAAAGAAGACACTGTCAATCAAAGGTTATGTCAGCTAAAGGAATAAAGGAAAATTAGGTAGAGATCTATCATTTGTAAGGAGAAAACAAAAAATAAATTTATAAAAAATTCCCATACATTCTTCATCTGGACTAAGAAATGTTAGAGTGAAATTTTATTAGTGTTCTACCTAATGCTAAAAGATTTGAATTGATTTGTTTTCCTGGTCCCAGAAGGATCATTTTCCAAAGTTATAGAAAATTAAGAGGCTAGAAGTGTATCTCTATGATATCCTGGGATGCATAAGACATTGGCTTTGGTCCCAACATCACAAAAAAATTGTGATGATTCAAAACAACAGCTTATTTCCTCATTCTGGCTTCTCCTTGTTGCGGTAATTATTTAAATCATCAGCATTTAATCTGGCTTTTCTTAAACAACCATCATGTTCCCGATTAGCCTGGGCCTGTGGCTATGAGTGGAGGTGGCTTACCACCGCTGCTCAGTTCAGGCCATCCACTCAGGTGGTAAGAGACACTGGCCATGCCACTCATGAGACGCCAGCTTGGGAAATGGCTCTGCCAACCTACCACGCTGTCTCCACAATGCTTGGCTGAGCCCAGACCATCCTGCCATCCACGCAGGCCGGTAGGAAATGAGACTCTAACGCTTAAATATTAATCAAAGGCTTTGTATGTTTGGTAATGCTCAATAGCAATACGCCAACATAATCATGGATGTTTCCCAATTAACTAACCTAGGCAAAAGTTGTTACCCAGAACTGCTCCCGGTACAAGCGTGGTCATCCATGACACTACATCCCTCTGTCTCTCTCCCCTACCTGGCTCCTCCTCTTCCTTTTCCTCTTCCTCTCCTTACTCCTCCCACCTTAGCTCCTCCTACATCTTCCCGCTAGAACCATTGTTCAAGTTTTTAGCCAATGTTTCCTTGATTATGAATGTGTCCTTGATATTTAAGTCTTTGGATATATACTAAGATAGATTAAGTAGCATGTATAGATTCAGGCATGTTCTTGATTCTACTTAACACTCATCATTGGACAGAATAGTTCCTCATCTTATAAAAGTCGGCCTCTGTTCCTCCACAGACATGGACTAGTCTAGACAGGCACTTTCCAGTGGCCACTCCTCAATGTCTTACAATAGGACAACTTCATAAGGCCACGGGATAATCAGTTCAAATTTTCATCACAGAAACAGAAAGTGATTACATAATTTGCATGGCCCAGTGCAACAAGAAAATGCAAGATCCTCATTAAAAATGTATCAGTAAATTCAAGGCTGCAACAGTAAGGAAACAAAACAAAACAACACAACTGTGGGGCCCTTACTGGCACAGGACCTATGGTACTGAATAGAGATTGTATACCCATGAACCCAGTTCTCGATAGACATTTCTCTAAGAATCTTTCTGCTCAGTTTTGACACAGAAGAACTGAATGGACTTATTGAAATATGAAAGATTGGCCTATGGGCTTTGAGCATCATGTAAGAGACATCTGAATAAAGCAACACAATAAAATTAAAGGCATCCTTGTTTTCTACATGAACACCCTTCTTTATGCCTTCATTTCTTACTTTTCTTACTGAGATTTCTTTCTTTCTTTGATTTCAGATTCACCCAAGAACCTAACAGAAGCATTTGTTATATAAATAGGAAAAAGAACAACCTGTGGAAAATACATTGTGAGGATTTAAAATATCTTACATACTTGCAAGCCAAATGGATCTCTTATTTGCACTTTGGTTACCAGATAATCACAGTGCACTTACTGTGTGAAACAAAGCATCCCAAAAGAAGACGACTCTGGATTTTCTGGCTACGTCATGGAAAATGGCTTTTAAAAAAATGAGTTTTCTCTGTGAAATTTGGGGGATCATGAAGAACAATCAACCGTCTTCAATTTGGAACTACCATTACTTTGTACCATTTGAAATATATGTATATATATAATATTTTGAAATATTATATATTCTCTTCAAGAAATGAACAGTACCACAGCGTGAGGTGGCTGGTGTATCCCTTTCCGTTTTGGATGTTTGGTCAGTTTTATTTCGTTTGCCATTCCTTTTTCTCTCAGTGAGGAAGATACATGCCCATGTGAGAATCCAACATGGCGCTCTCCCTGGAAGGCCAGCTGCAAGCCAACTCCTGGAATCTGAGGCATCCTAACAGTACTGAGTCAAGAGCTTCCCCCTGTTTCTACCCAGTGACCCAAGGAAGCTCCTCGTCTTGGTTTATTGCTTTCTATCCTGTGCAATATCAGCATGCAAGCTTGGCTTACATAACCATACTTTATATTCGATTGATATATAATAACCGTTCTAACCTCTTCCAGGAAAATATTTTTAGAAGTATTAGCTTTTCCACAGATAAGCAAATGAGGATTCTTGAGGGAGCTGCTCCACCGTGCTATTAAGACTCTGGCAGGATGGTAGGATGTAGATCCCTATATTAATAAGTCCTGTAAATACAGTGTCTTAGGGCTTTGTATAGCTGTCCTAGACTGCAGAAGTGTCCTCTGATTAAATCCAAAGTCTGCCATTGTTAACTACATAGTGCTGTAGCAACAAGTTTTATCATGACGCCTCTTTCTGTGTTTGATTTGCATTTTCCTAGCGTATTCACATCTCCTCTGATGAGATAGGAAAGCTATGAAAGCAATTAGGTTTCACAATGATCTATGTGACCAAGTGTTGGACAGCCCTATTAAAGTGGTAAATAACTTCTTTCTTAACCCATTTGTTCTCTTTGTCTGCCATTTAGTTTTATAGGCTTTCTTTTAACTAAACCAAGAGATCACAAGACTCTATGGAAGCTATTATTTCCATCAATAATATTTTGAAACTTAGACACTCATTAATATGATTGTAGTGAAATATCCAATTACAATTTCCATGTGGGTCACTTTGATAATATATATGGGGCTCTCACATACACATACCAAAGATGGGGGAAGAAACAACAGTAAAGTACAAACCATTATCCCTGTCTTTTTCTAATTACTGAGCTGAGCTAAGAGGTAAATATCTACTTAAAGTCTAGTTTTCTTGGGGAAAATTTTAATGGGACTTTACACTCCCATATCATCTCACAACGGCAGGTTTTTTTTTTTCCTCCCCAAATTGTTCTCTGGCATCTGTGTTCTTAGAGCCTCTTAGTAAATCACAGCACTGTAGCCCCTGAGTCTAGACTGTTCAGTATCAAACGTCAAGTAAAACTCAAGATTTCCTCTTACTCTACCCAGAAAGCCTGAAGTTTAATTGAATGTATGAACTTCTTTTTTTTTTTTCTGGTCCTGAGGACCCCGAACCAAGGGCCTTGCACTTGCTAGGCAAGCACTCTACCACTGAGTTGAATCCCCAGACCGGAATGTGTGAAATTCTAACAACAACAACAACAACAACAACAACAACAACAACAAAAATCTTGGTTCTGTATTGCAAATGCCTGTAAGAACCATCTAGAGATAGAAATAGAATCTCTATTGTAAAATTGAGAGTTCCAAATGCTTTGTTGGATATTGGCTAAAAGATAACATAAAATCTGTACCAGTATCCGTGTATGGTGCCAAGTGATAGCTGGGCATCACTTGAGATCCCAGCACTTGAAATATGGAGGTAGGAATATTGCAAGTTCAAAGTCAGCCTGCTCCAAAACAAAGAAAACCATTAGTGACAGCACTTATTTCTTAGTCTTACAGCACCAATTCAAATGCCAAGCAATATGCTTGGAAGACCAACCTTTCATATGTCAGCTTCAGATTAAAATTGAAACCATGACACCTAAGAATTGTATATTTGATGAAAAAATTAAAACAGAAATATTTGCCACAGAATTTGGTAGAATCTTTAGTATACCCAAGGATAGTAAAGCATCAAAGAAGACTAGAACAAGACAGCCTGGTTTCAAACAGAAACGAGTAAGTAAATCAGGATTCCAGCATGGTGGGGCATCACTATACTTCTAGGTGAATTTACTATAATCACATTGCCATATCTTCTGTTTTTCAGGAAATACAGAAATCTAGAGTTTTGCGTAGAATTCCCTAACATTCCTAATAAATAAGCCAACCTCATTTAAATGGCTGCAAATGTTATTATTGAGTCACGTTCTCTGAAGGGTGGACTTAACTATGACATTTGTGTCCCCTAGAGTCTTCTAGTCTCATTGATCCCAGATGAAAGCCCAATGAGAGGTGAAGAAACCAGGCTCTTCTATTGTGCAAAACCTTACTTTGGAAGACAATTCTGCTAACGCATAGTATGTGAGGGTCATGTTTTTCTGGTCTAGAACCAGAAGCTATAACTCAGTGTAAGAGCTAGCCTAGAGGGCTACATCTGTTAGCTCACCCGCACAAATGACTTTATGCAATAGCATCCTTTGAAGAAACTTAGAGAAAGAAACCAAGAAAGCAGACCATATCAGAATCAGGCAGCCATCCAACAAGACAGTGCAAATATTTGTAAATGTCAGATTCAATTCAAATTCATCCAAGTCACTTACACAAATGTATGAACCATCAAATTGTGTTTAAATTTAACTTGTTCAAGTTTGGGGAATTTGGTGGCTACCATCTGCCTACTGAGCCTGCACATTTGAGGTGCACAAAATTTTATCACATGAGAATGGTAATAATCAGTGTATATGACTAATACCAATTTTAAACTCATGCCCCACGTACTGTGAAAAATGTGGCAACATAATTGGAATATATATATATATATATATATATATATATATATATTCCAATACATATATATATCATATACTTATATGCATACACATACATATACATATACATATACATATACATATACATATACATATACA